GAGCTGACAGCTACGAGTGGGAAACGTTCCGGAATGCTACCAGCCGGCTACTGGGCAACAGAACCTTTTTAGGTAGTTATCCCAGTAGTTCACAAGCTACATAGCAAGCCTAATCCGGAAAAGTACCGGACGTGTTTCGCCCCATTGGGGCTCGTCATTGGTGCCCATTCCCTCGGGCCTCTAAGGAGGATCGAACCCATGACCGTTAGAGGCACATGTTAACTAGCCAGCAGCTTAAGCCACATAGCTAGCCTACTCATACGTTACCAACATTCGGAGTTCCTTGGGATACTAGATCCCCATTTGATTGATCACTTGCATCGGGGTCTTGCACGAGTGCTGCTGAGCCTTGTTACACGTAAGGCAGCATTAACAGTGAATTGTCGTAAGGATAATCTTCAACTTTTCACAAGCAAACTGACGTTCGTCAGTCCAGCAGAACTTTTGTGCATGATCGATTAAACTATGTGAGGCACCTGAGATGGTCCGAAAATTAGAGATAAACTGTCAGTGGTACGAGACCAACTCTAATATATTCTGTTCTGTAGTCGCGGTATGTTGCCGTCCGGAAGTTATTCATTCCCGTTTAGCAAGATCGGTTTTTAAGCCAAATCAATTCAAAATAGACTTTATGTACCTTGATGGATAGATATTCAATCTTTATACTATCACTGCGAATAGAGAAATGGTACAATTTATGGATAAAAGCAAATAAAGGGTCGGATACAAAATGTGTTAACGTCTCACTCAAGCAAACAAATGTGCACCAAACTGTTAATCAATTCAAAAACCCATATGGAAACCATTGCTCAAAAGACGAATAACTAACTATATTATGCGATCACGTTGTACACGTTGATAAGACCACCCGAATGGGCTGTGCCTCGCACTGCTGAGGAATAAAACGTTTATTAAATAATTTATTTATTTATTAGGTCCACAAGTAATCGTGATACTTGCGGTAGGATAGCATTGTGGTGAGAGGCCGCAGGACAGAATAAAACTCTAAATTTGATGTATGTAAAAGGGATAGCTCTTTCGATAGGACTCCATGTAGTGCGTGAAAACGGTCCTTTAGAAGTTTTAAGGAAACGTAGTATGGACAATGGACAATGGACAATGGACAATGGTTTATTACGGTAAAAAGCATCGCTTAACAAGTCCCGTGGGATGGAAATTATTGCGAAAGTAAATTGCATAAAAAAGTGAAAAGCGTTGTGGTGGAATCACCATAGACTTATGTGAAATAGCGGAGCTGTTCGCGTATTAAACATAAAAATCCATAAATCCAATGGTTGAGCGTTTAGCAAGAAACCGATTGATTGCGTTTTGTAGACCCTGGATAACAAGTCATAATGAATGTAAGTGAGACAACGCATCGTCAACACGTTTTTAAAATATCGCCAGATTGGGAGCAGAGACGACATAATTAGGGAGGGCCTTCCAAAGCTCACACACGCGGAGAGAAAAGAAAATTCTACGGCATTCAAGCCGGCTGTAATGAATTGTCAGTTTCAGAGGGTGACCTCTTAGTTTAATGTTGGGGTTCAATTCCAGCAGCGGACGGCAAATGTGGTTTGGGATCTTCAGAATCTGGTAAACCATTATGAGATCCCCCCGCAAAAGCCGATATCGACTGCTGTACATTCTTAGAGATTTCAGTCTAAGCTGATAGGGCAGATGAAAGAGGCCCCCTGACGTTCTTGGTTGCCCGTCGTTGAGGAGTCTCGAGAGCAATGAGATCCTGTTTCTGCCACGGCTGCCACGCCTGAATAGCATATTCCACATGCGGGCGCACGTAGGCGTTAAGCATTTGGGGAAATATTGACGGTTCAAACCGACCGAAGGCTCTGCGAAGAAGGCCGTAGTGTTGATTTCCGGTTCTCGTCGCCTTCTCTGCTTGTTTGGAACACCCGAGATCTTCCTGTACCAATACACCCAGGTCCCGCTCATGAGAAACCTTTGCCAAGGTGTGGTCTCCAATCTTGTAGGCGCTCACCAGCTGGTGACGCAGATGCATCACTTTGCACTTAGCCATGTTCAATTGAAGCTTGTTACTCTTTGACCATTCGTAAATGCAATCTAGGTCATGTTGGAGCAGATGCTGATCTGCCTTGTTACTAATCGCCCGCCATATCTTGACGTCATCGGCGAAAAGCAGGAAGTTTGAGGAAATGACTCTTGCCAGGTCGTTGATAAACACCAGGAATAAGCGCGGTCCCAGCACTGAGCCTTGTGGGACACCACATTCCACCTCAATTGGGTTAGAAAGTGATCCTCTAACACGTACTTGGAGCTTTCGTTGGTAAAGGAAGTTGCCAATCCAACCAAGTACAGGATCTCCGATTCCGTAACTCTGAAGCCGTTGAAGTAGGATGCGGTGATCGAGGCGGTCGAAAGCTTTGGAAAAGTCCAGATAGATAGTCGTAAATGCGTTCCACCGGTGTGTTGCCAATAATAAATAGTTCTATATGCGTGACGTGCTTTGAGTGAATAAAATCGGGGGGGGATGATCGCGGGCATTAGTGGGGGCTTGGGGGGTGGATGTCCTCCTCGGGTGCGGGGGGTATTTACGGATGAGGGTGTTGGTATTTGTTAGTTGATTACCCTCCACGTAGTGTATGTCTTTTTGGGGTTGCAGCGGTGGATGGATGAACAGTTGGATATTCTTGTGTGGTTTTTTTTATACACTGTTTTTTATTTCACTTTTATGCGCTGAGGGCAGGTTCAGGGGGTTAGGGAGTGGGGGGATCGGTGTGGGGCTTTGGGGGGGAGGGTGTGGTGGGGGGGGTAATGGTTCAGCGCGATCAGGTAACGGGTGCGTTGGGGTGTGTGTTTTGGAGGTGTTGGGGGGGTGTGTTTGAAAGGGTGAGGTCGGCCTCGGTTGGTAGTGTGTACCCCCGTTGTGAGAGGATGATTGAACGCACTGAACGATAGTGAGTGACATTGGGCTGTGGTGTGTGTTTTGGAATCGTGGGTGGTACACACGGTTCTTTGCTTGAGGCGTTGCTGGAAGGAGAGTGCGGATGCGCTGAAGATATATACAGGTATTTTTTGTTTTACTTTGATGTTGTCGGGGTTTGTAAGGGCGGTACAGGGGGTTTCTGGGGCGGTGGCGGGGTGTGTTTGCGTCCGGGACACCTGGGGCGTTCGTGTCAGTATCCTGATAGGGGTTGGGGTTGTTTAATTATTTTTTATTTTTGTGTTATAATTATTAATTTTATACTATATTAAAATTATTATTTTTTTATTTTTTATAAGATTTTACATTAATGTGTATTTATATAAATATTATTTTTAATTAAACCGACCTATTGTATTAGATATTTGTATAGAGTATTAGAATGGGTAATGTTGATTGTCGTTCATGATGGTTGCATTGAAAAATAGTTTTGGCTTTGGATAACAGGGCATGCTTTCTATGCAAATCGCTTATCAGCCCCAGGAAGATTCCTCCCGGTAGTACGATTTGATAGGTGGTAGTGGGGGGAATGTTTGCATCACACGGTTTTATATTTTTATTGCACACACTTCAGGATTTAAGAGATGTTGCGAGGGGGCGGATCAATCCAGCTCATGACTCAGTCCTGACTCAATCCGAAATGCATTGTCTCCCAAACTCTGCAGCTTGCAAGCTATACTTCCGCCTTATTATTTGGTACAGCAGTCCGGCACAGTCTTGGAAGCCGCTTGCAGATTTGTAGGAAGTTTAACGGTTTTCAGTTTTGATAAAGAAATAACACGAAAATAGTGAGAGTGCAAGTTATTTTAACGAAAAGTGGAATAAAAACAAACCTTCGTCGATTCAGAATGGCAATGTGAGTTTAGGTAGGAGGAACTGTGGTTTCTCTTGATAGGTGTGTGAACGAGGGGGAGAGGGGATCGGTTTTTTTTTTTTTTGTTGCGGTTTTGTAGAGTCATCTGTTTCCCAGCTATCAGGTTCTTTGGGTGGAGGTGTTGCACTCGTGGAGAAGCTGATGTGGGGCCTAGGCTAAGATTTGGGATGTCAGGAAGGGGTCTAGGATAGGTAGGATGATTTTTCGACGCTCCCAAAAGCATTTGAATAACCAAGAGACAGCAGGCGAACTGCACTGCATTTTTATCTAGCTTCGATGATATCAAATATCTAAGATACGATACAGCATACAGTGGGACTCGGTTGGGTTTTTAAACAAACTGGTATAAATCGTCTGCCTGCGTACGCTTGAAGATCTGAGGTACAAGTAGTTTCTAAAAGGATTTCAACGTCACCGACGTACATGTAACCGGCCGATAGCGCTGAGATTCCTTCTTGGGCACAGGCGTTATCCTTACTGGATTCCAGCTGTCAGAGATAGTGCCACTTATAAGACAGCGGTTGAATAAAGCGGTTATGGGTACCGCAAGATAATCAGCGCAATTTTTATGGCTAGTGGTGATAAAGCATCACGTCCATTGGCCTTAGTAATCTTCATTTTGCTGAGTCCCCTGTAAACATCCAGCTGAACAATGGCGAGTGTGATACCGATGTTGTTGAGCGAGGGGAGGAAACAAAACTCAGCAATGACTCGGTCCATATCCACATTATTATGACGATTTAGCGAAACGTTACCACACAGTTGCTCTAAAAGCCAGTAAAACTTGCGATAATCATGATTACCTAGCATAGTTTTAATGTATAAACGATTTAGTCGCATTTCCTCTGATTTGATTGCCGGCGATAGTCGTGTAACTGGAGCGGTCATTTTGAATTTATATGTCTGTTCTTTTCTCCGCTTACGTTGTGATCCAGTTGCCAACGCTCGGTAGTATCTACGAGTGGACAGGGGCGATGCCGGGTGCGGGAAGTGGGCGGAATGGGCGAATCAGTGGAAGAACGGTCTGGGGGATGGGAATGATGGGGGTGGGGGGGGGGAGGGGGGAGGGGTAGGGAGGTGGGACGCCGTGATGGGGGGTGGAGAATAGGGGGGGCTGGGGCGGGGGGCGGGGGGGTGTGGGGAGGTGAGTAGCAGGGGTGTGAGATGGGCGGCTTGGGGGGGGGGGGGGGGGGGGGGTGGGTGGGGGGGGGGGGAGGGGGGGGGGGGGGGGGGGGAGGGGGGGGGGGGGGGGGGGGGGGGGGGGGGGGGGGGGGGGGGGAGGGGGGGGGGGGGGGGGGGGGGGGGGGGGGGGGGGGGGGGGGGGGGGGGGGGGGGGGGTGGGGGGGGGGGGGGGGGGGGGGGGGGGGGGGGGGGGGGGGGGGGGGGGGGGGGGGGGGGGGGGGGGGGGGGGGGGTGGGGGGGGGGGGGGGGGGGGGGGGGGGGGGGGGGTGGGGGGGGGGGGGGGGGGGGGGGGGGGGGGGGGGGGGGGGGGGGGGGGGGGGGGGGTGGGGGGGGGGGGGGGGGGGGGGGGTGGGGGGGGGGGGGGGGGGTGGGGGGGGGGGGGGGGGGGGGGGTGGGGGGGGGGGGGGGGGGGGGGGGGGGGGGGGGGGGGGGGGGGGGGGGGGGGAGGGGGGGGGGGGGGGGGGGGGGGGGAGGGGGGGGGGGGGGGGGGGGGGGGGGGGGGGGGGGGGGGGGGGGGGGGGGGGGGGGGGGGGGGGGGGGGGGGGGGGGGTGGGGGGGGGGGGTGGGGGGGGGGGGGGGGGGGGGTGGGGGGGGGGGGGAGGGTGGGGGGGGGGGGGGGGGGGGGGGGGGGGGGGGGGGGGGGGGGGGGGGGGGGGGGGGGGGGGGGGGGGGGGGGGGGGGGGGGGGGGGGGGGTGGGGGGGGGGGGGGGGGGGGGGGGAGGAATCAAGGTTTACCACCCGTAGGGCAGGGGCTGAATTTAGCTGCATGGTGGGGGGCAGGGGCCGGGGCCTCAGCATTTATGAGGGGGGTAAAGAGGAAAGCTTAGAGGGGATAGAGCTTTGAGGTAGAGGGGGGAGGTAAGCTATCCGCCACCACATCCCATTCGTGGCACGGGGGTTGTAGTGGGGATCTAGCTTTGCAAGGTGTGTGGTCGGCCTGAATGTATGTCTGATAATATCTACAGGGGAGGAGGGATGGAAATGACTAGTGGGCGCGACGTACTACTCTGGTTGTTTTGAAGCGACCGTCACCGTATCCTTTTGGGTTGTTTAGATGTTATTAAGTTAGCCCAGCATCTTGTCTCGTGTCTGATTCGTTTTGACCGGCGGCCTCGGCTTATTGGATTAGTTTGCCCGTACATAAAATTTTAGTCTTGCTGCGCAAAAAAATTTATTGCACATATACGTCCAGAGGATACAGTGGTGGTTCCTGGCAGTTTCCTGGAGCAATGCAGAAAGCAGGAAAACATCAGGCAGAGGCAAATAGCCTTGTACTTCTGAAATTTAGGCGGAGAGGAGGAAGAAAAAACAAGGTGTTTTTTTTTTATTTGCCATCCCAACTGCTGAGCTGAGTCTCAATATAGGTTGTAATGCGTCTTTTTAGCCCTAGATTAAGTAACACCACCATTATTACATTAATTTAATGCTTAGCATCGACGATGTCAACTACGATCGTTTATTGACCACCGGTTGGACACGTTTGCGTTTATCCGACGAGGCCCCGCCCGGTTTTTATTTGAGAACTACCGAATTACGATGGTTGTTTTTATTAGGGCAGTTTCAGAAGTAAGTATGTACCCAGCTGTATGTAGTTATGTAGTAATAGGAATATGGTTTTTCGACCAAGTGCAATTATACAACCGTGTTGGGCAAAGGAAGGATAAAGGAATTACAACGATTCCCACATACAATACTGCAGCGTCTATCTAAATCTGTGAGTTCATTCTAGATTATTATGAACTCATCCATGATATGCTACCACCCAGTCAAATTTTACACTTGCAGCCTGTCATACAAGTTTGTTGTTGTTTTTTCTTTCGCACAAGCCATACCACAGAGCTCCGTTGGCAGTGAATGTTTGGCAGTGGATAGTGATAAACAAAGGAGGTCGCTTTGCGTCTCTTTCTGGATATGGTATAAACGCCGGAGGACGTCTTGTCCTTATGTCGGTGGGTTGTGAGATTTGAGGTGAGGATGAGAGATTGAGGATGTTTGTGAGAGATTGAGTCTGGGTAGTGTGAGGTGAGTGTGACCAGGGGTGTGTTTGGTGTGTTGTATGGGGTGTTGGGTTGGGCGTGTGTGTGGGTGTGTGGAGAGTGGGGGGCTGGTGTAGAGATTAGGATGGGTGGCGAGTAGTGTGAGGGTGTGTTGATGAGTAGGTGGAGTGGGTGTGTGGTAGTGGAGGTGAGTTTAAGGAGGTGCTGATTTCGCTTAATGAGCGTCTCGGAGGGAAGAGAGTGTGAGAGGAGTAGAGCAGGGATGGGTGTGGTGGATGTTGTGGTATGGATCACTTTATTATGCCAAGGTGATATTATTTGCCCCATATAAAATCGTGGCCTACCGTACAAATTCATTAATTTTAAATTGTGTATTATCACTATTTGGGAAGAGATAAAGGTCAGGCAAAGTTGATTAATGCACACCAGCGGTAGTTTTTTTTCAGGGAGTTGCACGGCTGAGGGTTCTTCAATGGAATCCATGGAACAAAGGTATTGTCGGGTATTATTATAAATTTAATCGTTTGTGTAAATTATATAAAAAAAGCACCATTTATTTATACACTTATAACGAGTCAAGCTGAGTTGTGTGGCCTAATTGTATTTCTAACATTTTGGGCTATACCTATTAATTGGTTTTGTGATAGTAAGTTTTAAGGATCCTGTTCTCCCAGCGTCAGGTAGATGTAAAAAAGGTATTTTTAGAAAGTAAGTAGTTTAACTGTTTTAGGGGGATATTTATAATTATTTATTGTGGTAAGACGGCAATAACTGGCCTACTAAGAAAAAGAAATTGTTATCGTTGGTGTTGGTTCTTTAGCATAAATTATTATAATATAATGGTAGAGTGGACTCAAACGGGTTGCGCTATCTGATGTACGACCTGTGGATTTTGGGGGTGGGGTGTGGGGGGAGGGGTGAGGGTGTGGGGTGTGTGGGTATTATTGTTTATAGATGTGTATATTGCCATTTTCACGATGGCTGGTCTTACACAGGCCGCAAGTTCGTTTGTGTAACTATGCACGGTTGTTTCGTTCATAGTATAACTAATATAAGCGCCAGGGGGGTCGGGGTCGTCGGGGGGCGGTGGGGCGTGTCCGGGGAGGGGGGGGGTCGTCGGGGGTCCGGGGGTCAGTCAGTTGCGACGTGCCAATGTTTTTTAAATTTGTTATTAATGTGTGGGGGCACAGGGCACAAAACAACTGAGTTTGGGAACAATAGAAAAGGGCGCGGTCAGTCAGGGTTCAGTCGTACTGACAGGGCCCCGCAGGACCCGGGGGGACTAGGGAGAGAGAAAAGAAGGAGGAGAAAGAGAATTAAGAAAGGAAAGAATCGAAAGAAAGAATTTAGGGTCCTCGACTAGTCTTAGAAGACTACTGTACGGTTGGTGTGGCTCAGCTTTTTTATTTAATAACTGTTTACCGCGGAAGGTTACTGATTCAGGTTTTTTGGTTAGTGTTCGTCGGGGGAAGCTTCTCATAGTGACGGGGGGGTGGCGGGCTGGGGGGGGGCTTGGCAGGCCGGGCCGGCATATCGTTTGTCTGGGGGGATGTGGGATCATTCGCTTAAATATCTGGTTACACTGTATGAGGTCTCCAACGATAGTCCGCCGGTTTGGGCAGTGCGGTTACGGTTCCGCTGCTGAACATCCGAGTATCGCCAGTCGTTCCTGGGGTTGTAAAGGAGGTTGGTGGCCGAAGACAAGCGAACTGTGAAAAAAACGGAATGAACGA